GAATTCTTGGATGCCTGGCGTTCAGACAAAGCAGCCATCAATGGATAGAGAAAAATAATGCTTACACACCTTTGGAAAGACACAATAAAATCTAGAACAGACAATGAAGGGAGTGTAAAAGCCATTATGTAGGAGAAACAGGTAGAAAACTAGCAGAACGCATACAGAAACACCAACAAGCAATTAGAAGACACAATAAAAACTCCTTAATTGCACAACCCATGGACAGACTCAACCATAGTTCCAACTGGGAAACTCTGAGCATCCTAGACCAAACCAAGTTGAAAAATGTTAGAGAATTCTTAGAAGATGGCATTCAGGCAAAGCAGCCATCAACGGACACAGAGAGATAAATAACATTTACATGCCTTTAAAAAGAGACAATAAAATCTAGAACAGATAACGTAGAGATTGTAACAGCCATCAACGGACAGAGAGGGATAAATGATGTTTACACACCTTTGAAAAAAGACAATAAAATCTAGAACGTAGCGATTGTTACAACCACTATGTAGGGCAGATGGGTAGAAGGCGAATGGAGCACATCCACAAACACAAGACCAAATTTGACCCTTGTTGTGGCACCAGAGAAAAAGCGAACAACAACAAAGCTGGGAGTCCTTTTTTCGCTTTGTGCTAACACCTCCATTTTGGCAAGCTCTCTGCCACACTGTCACAACTTCAGAAGTGCAAATGAACGTCTAAATAAATGGATTTAGGATTGCGCTGAGCTGTTAGCTTTAAGTCTCACGCTTTGAAATTTCACAGTTTCACAACAGCAGTGGAACGGAGACAAGATATATCTCTGTGTTTGTGTGTTTGTGTTAATTATACTGAGTTTTCTTTTGTTAGGAAATTAAAAATGCAAAGCTGTGGTCATATTGGCTAAGAAGTTTATTTCAAGGTTGCAAGGTTCATTTTTTGAATTGAAGCCAATTTGGTCTAGGTGACAAAATGCTGGCACGAGAGCAGGGAGACGTGAGTTCTAGTTCTGCCCGAAGCATGCAACATTAGCAGCAAGTTGGTGAGTTCGAGTCCCGCCTTAAGCAAAAAATCATACTGGGTAACTTTGGGCCAATCACCAGGAGACGGTGAATTCTAGTCCCACCTTAGTCATGAAAGCCGGATGGGGGATTTGGAGGCAGCACAACCCACCTCACAGCATCCTTGTTTTGGGGAAAATAGAAGGAGGAAGCGCTTATGACCGCCTGTGCATGCACAGGGTGACGGGATCACAACTTGGACTCGTTTAACAACTGCGTGATTCACTTAACAACCTCCAAATGCTCAAATCTCAACCAACATTCTCCAAGATCATCTCCCAGATACCGAAAGGGGTTAAAGATTCACAGGTGTTACAGAGATAATCAACCTAACCCAAAATACACCAGAAATTAGACCAGCTGTTCTAAAATAGGAGTGTGTGTGTGTGTGTGTGTGTGTGTGTGTGTGTAATCTTATTTTAGAACAACTGCTCTAATTTCTTATATATTTGGGGGCAGGTTGATCTATCTACTTTTCTATCTATCTATCTATCTATCTGGACTATCATTATCTACTACCTATCAATCTATCTGATTTATCATTCTATCTAATCTATCTGATCTATCATTATGCATTATCTATCTATCTATCTATCATCTATCTATCTATCTATCTATCTATCTATCTATCTATCTATCTATCTATCTATCTATCTA